CTCTAGCAACCTAATCAGATTCTATCTATCTCAGATTGCAGCAGGAATCAGGAAAAGTTGATCAGACTTCAATTGACTCAATAAACATGCATCATTCGATTATAATCAAACAATAAAGCATCCAAAACTTCATACAAGAAAGATCCTAACTCATGGAACTAGGGTTCCTCAAAATCTAAGTGAAAGGAAGTTACTCCATAGAGAAGAGAGAGACTGCAGAAATCTGATCTAGATCTTCAATCTCCATCTCCAAGCTTGATTCCCGAGCTTCAATGGCGAAGAAATCCTCCAAAATAGCTCCAAGAACGTTCCCAAGTCGCTCTCTCTCTCTAGGGTTCGTCCCTTGGGTGTTTGGGATCCAAAACCCAGCTCTCCCCCTTCTTTGGTTCGGAATTTGGCTTAAAACCAGGAAATCCCGACTCACACGGGCAGGGTGGCACGGCCGTGTGGCCTACCCAGTTGCCCGTGTGAGGCAAAACGCACTGTATCACTTAGTCGAATTCCAGGCTTCTTACACGGCCAGTGTGGCACGGCCGTGTATGACTTCCTTCTGCCCGTGTCTGCTCTCGGCGAATGTGGCACGGCCAACCCGGCCACTTGCACGGCCGTGTCAATCTGCTGCTCTGCCCGTGTCTGCTCTCGCAGAATGTCACACGGCCAGACTTGCCTCTCGCACGGCCGTGTGCACATCAGGGTAGCCCGTGTGACCTCCTTTGTGACTTGTCTCGCGCCCGATCTTTGCCCAATCGACCCCGAACTCGCTCCTAAACCTTCATTCACTTGCCAGGACCTGAAATATCACAAACAAGCACAACCTAGCTTGAAATCGGTATAAAACACGAGAAATCACATCTCAAACGGTGTAAGAACAGGGGTAAAAACATGTGTAATTAACGGTCTATCAACCATATTAACAAAAAAAGGTATTAGCACACTAGCCCCTCCCTCCCTTATTAGAATTAAAGGGGTTGATGGAGTGCTTGCAAGAAAAGTGGTGCATGCGGATAGAAACATGTGGATAGTCAAACTGAAATCTAATTAATTTAGCCGTTAATTGAAATATTTATAAAAACTTGTGGATAGAAACAAGAATATTATGATAACTTTTTGATTTGGAAAGATTATACCCGGTTGATTATTTTTGGATTGTGATTCGTGAATGATAGAAGTAGACCAACTAGTCAGCGCGATTTACTCGATTGTTATCACATTGTACACATCTTACCAAGAAGGCAGGAAGAACAGTAGTGTTGGGTCAAAATGAAAGAAACCCATTAGGTTGTTCACCAAAGCCCAAGAAAAGTTAAGCCAATAGGATGTGGACCGAGTTGGAAAATAGGGTTACAGAGTAAGTTCGCGGGTAGGGTGCAAGGCGACAAAACATACGTGAAGAAAAATTAGTACGACTAAAGCTGGAAGATGGTCCCCGCCAGGCGCCCCGACAAGGAAGTTGGGAGGCTGGCACGAGGGGGCACATAGACGTTGTACCGTACCAAGCATTTAATGCCCTACTAACATAGGGTTGGACTCGCGGAACTTGGTCGGTACCTAGACGAGTATAAATAGTGCTTGGTTGGTGGTATTTAAGCAAGTTGGATTATCTCACTAAAACTCTCTCGACACTTATCTCTCTAGAAATCCGACTAACTGGAGCGTTGGAGTGATAACGGGTCACAAAGCCCACTGTGTGCCAATTCTTGCAGGACCCGGGCGCCCTTGTTGGAAACTTGGAGCGGTTTGAAGTTGTGCTATGTGGAACAGAGTATTGTGTCTCAAAAAATTGGCGCGCCAGGAAGGGGTAGGATCGAGATTGCGAACTAAAGGAGGACACAAAGAAAGCAATGAACGAATAAGGAGGAGATGGAGAAAGCCCAAGGGCGGAAAATTCAGGATCGGAATCAGCTCCTTGTCTAGGAGGGAGTTGTTTCAAATTATTGCTGACCAAGACCAAGCTATAGCAACATTAAGGAGAGAGATGGAAGGAGGAAGAGGCGAGGACATGAGGGCATACAACCCTACGATGAGGAAACAAGACAAGGCAATGGATGATATCGAGTCCAGTCACTAAGGGTGCCCATATGTAGCTGGACCAACCGGCGACCAAACGCCTCATGGGCGCCCCTATGCAACGAGACCTTGGGGCGACCAAGCGATGTCAGATCTAAAGGAACACAATGAGTGGGCACCCAAACGTCCAACCAGGCGTTTCGCCGTCCGGCAACTAAATCGCTAAAAAACAACACCAAACTGCGAGCAAGTATAATCATAGAATGGAAATGCAGAATAGTGGGTAAGTTTAATTTATCAACTTGGGGTCTAGATCTACTGCCTACTTCGTGAACTTCCATTATCTAGCGAGACTAAGTGAGTGAAGGTGAATTCAAATCCAATAAGAAAGAAAGCAGTAAATTGTCCAGTTTTCTGAAGCAAGAGAAGAGTCACTCGGGAATGAGTCCCCCTAGCTCCTTAGTTAGGTCCAAGTTGTAATTTCCTTCGGTTGATTCACTGTTGATTAAACTCCGGAAGATCCGACAGTAGCTTGGAATCTCTTAAACTGACCAAGCCCTCTCAGAAAGACTAACCGGCAGACGACTAGTCTTCACGCGGATAGAATGCTAAGGAAATTAACACAGAGCTCCACTATTGGAAACAAATTCCAATACAAAGCAGTGAATTGACTCGCTCTCGTACAACCAATTCACTCCTATCGATTAAAGAAGCTCTAACAACCTATTCCGATTCTATTTATCACAGGTTGAAGAAGAAATCAAGAGAAGTTGATCAGTATTCAACTGACTCAATAAACACACTTCAATCGATTAAAATCAATCAATATATCATCCCAAAAGTCATTACAATCAAGATCGCTAACACATGGAACTAGGGTTCTTCATACCCAAGCGAGAGAAAGTTCTACTCCATAGAGAGAGAGGAAAACAGAAATCAATGCAGTCATACTCATAAAGATGGGAATAATCTGCTATGGAGATGCAATCTGGGCTTCAATGGTGAGAAATCCACTCCAAAATAGCTCCTAGGGTTTGTTCTTCGCACTTTCTCTCTCTACAACTATGTTTTTGCTCCAAAAAGTCGAATCCCCCAAAATATGAGCTCATCTCCAATAAAACCCGCATAGGTGCAAAAACACGGCCTCTAGGCCCAAAACCCGGTCGTATTTTAATCAGAAGAGGTCGTGTTTCGAAATGGCGATTATTCGTGAAGTGCAGAGGAAAAACCCGACCTCTGACATAAGGCCGTGTTTTTCAGCAGCCCTGCTGCCCGGTTTTCGCAATCGACCTTTTTTCACCTCCTAATGTCCCGAAACTCGTCCCCAAGCCATATCTACGTACTAGGACCTGAAATATGACAAAAGAACATAACCTAGCGTAAAATAGGCCAAGGAACGATCAATCGCTTAGCTAAACAATCAATAAATAAAGGGAAAAACATGTGCGAATGCGGTGTTATCAAATTCCCCCACACTTAACCGTTTGCTTGTTCCCAAGCAAACCAAGTCAGATACAAGGTAAGCTCAAAACATTTTAATCATGCAAGCTTTGGGGCATATCATATAGGCATAACACATGCGAATCGTACTGTTTTAGACATCAACACATGAACAACAACAACAACAACAACAACCTGGACAACCACCACAAATGACATTCGAGTGCAGCAAAATCTGGTAAAGAAAGAGTCTCCCCTCTGTTCACTAACAAACATAGAATTGACTCAACCACTTATTCAAGACAGTCATCTCATGCATAAAATTCAAGACATCATAATTAAGACCGAGCAATCTAGGTCCTCACCGGGGTATATAATATGAAAATTGAATCACTCACTCTCGACCAGTGGGGTCAGGACAAAATTTGATGCAAGATGTGCATACTTGTACTCTCAATACCTAATGTCTCTTCACTATTATGGTAGCCTCTAAATGCTAGAATTCACATATCGGATGTCACCACTAACTAGTGTGGAAGTCTTAGACACAGGTTCAGATGACTGGCTAGGGTCTTGGACATAGGGAAAAGGCCTTTTAGGTGGTGGAAAAATTTCTAACACAAGGTTCCACAGTTCCAAAACCAAACAGAGTAAAATTCATTAAAACCATTTACTTTCTCTCTGCTATTCTCCATTAATCAAGTTCTTTATAGCACAAGAGTGAAGGAGGTAACAACATGTTAGCATTTCCAAGCCAGACTACTAAGAAAAACTATGTTATGAGCATGGTTCAGATTTTTGTGGTGGCTCTCTTTTTCTTTCATTTTTTTCTTCTTTTCTTGAGAGAACCACCACTTCTGCACATTCTTGTATCCTTGTATTCTCTATCTATATGCTCTATCTCTCATTCTGATTCCCAAAACTAGATGCAAAAACGATTGCCAAAAATAAGTGATCAATCCAAGTCGCAGTTGATAAGCAGACAGTTGAAAAATTGAACCCCTACACAACTCTACTGCACGTCTCACTCCTCATTATAGGTTGTCCTAGTCACAAACAAGTTGTCATGCATCAATGTTAACAGATAATCGATTCACCACATAAACCACAATACAATACGATCATGCAAACATCAGTACTTGGAGCCCTCAAATCTCGAGATTTGGACAGCGGACTAGGCTCCAAGCACCCAAACAGATTCCCCATAAGCACAAAGCACCCCCACACTTAGGATCGACATTGTCCTCAATGGCGCAGAGGGAAAGAGAAAGGGAACGATGTTATTGGTAAGTGACGATGAGAAGCGACGACTGGAGAGGGGACCAGTCAAGAGCAGGGGATTGGAAGGGGACCTGTCCAAAAGAACAGAGCTAGAGTCATCAAAATACTAGGTGATAGAAAAAACAGACCAAAGTTCCAAATGCAGATTCCAAAAGAAAAACGGAACGAAGTTGGAGTCTAACAACGAAACAAACACACAAAGCAACAGCCCGTAGTGGGATCAAGCAAAGCCAGGATAGTCACATCCGGCAGGCTAGAAGTTGTCATCCGCCCGAGGCGATAGAGCAGAAGGTCCGCCACCATAAGTGGAGGCCCCGGACGAGTGGCGGAAAGGCACATAAGGGACACCGGGATGCTAGAGGATGAGCTTCTGAGTGGACTCAATGCGGTCAAGGCGGGCGTCCAAGTGGCCAACGAGTATGGCCATCAGATGCGGACAAGGCTCACGACTATGAGCAGGGCGAGGCGGGGCAAGCTACTGCTCCGCCCGATGGACCTCTGGAGGAGGAGCATCATAGTGGCCATCCTTAGTGAAGTACGCAGAAGGTGGGTCCCGCCGGGTCATGGATTGCCAATGCTCAAGAGAGAGGGGGGATGGTACGACCTACTAGCGTGCACCCCATGGCCACTGGATCAAGACCGATTCGCCTAGCAAGGCGAGTGACAAAGGCCCCACCTTCGACCTAGTACTAATGTTGTGCAAGGTCAACACACGAGAGGAGCCCACACGAATAGGGACGGAGGCCGCAAGACTAGTAAGGATGGCTCGATGACGGTTGCTGATGGCACCCGGGATGCCTTGCTGTGGGAGAAGCCCGTGGCTCAAGACGTTATGGAGTAGCCTGAAATCATGATGAAGCATACTTGCCTTGGCCGCTTCTCTAAAGGAAGAACCACAACAACACGGGTGAGGGGATGCTGCCACTGCTGATCCAGAAGGGACTATGTCGCAAATGTGGTCTCAAATGGAAGGAGAGTGTATCGGGGACTTTGAACAAAGTCCTCGGAGTACAATCCCATGGCGATGCTGAACTAAGTCAGCGATATAGTATGGAGCTGGCCATCAAGGCGAAAAGTAACCCCATTGGGCAAGGAGAATTTCTTCAAGGCCGCCTTGGTGAGGGTGAAAGAAGCCAAGAACTCCAATGTGAGCTCCCTGTAGATGATCTCATTGAGCTCAAACACGACCCGCCAAACGCCATCATTGAGCATGTCATTAACGGAGTCGAAAACCAGAACAGAGCACACTGTGTCCTAATCCAAACAACGGGACTCGCCAAAAGTTAGCGAAGAGAGCCCAGTAAGTCTCTCACGAACCTCCAGGTTGAGCAACATGATGTTAAACTAGTCCAGCTGAATGGGAGATGCGATTGGTTTGTCAGGCTGGACCCTGCCTCGACTTCGATCGCGTCCCCCACAAGTTCCTTGCTGGCCATGACTGCCGCTATTCTTCGATTCTTCCTGCACAGCTGACCAAAAAAAAAAAAAAAAAAAACAACCAACCAAGAAGTAGTACACAAAGCAAACAAAATCATTAGTAGGATAGCAAAGGTACGACAATCATGCAAGAGGATGCAAAACCACCAACAGGCACCCCAAGGTCAAAGAGAAATTCGACAAATAATACCCAAGAGCTAAAATTGAGGTAGCACAAGTCCATTAAAAGTGTAAAAGCTCATTGAGGCCACCTATCAAACACATGGGGGCACAACGCAAAACGCAAAACGCAAAATGCACCCACCATACTCCAACCCATGCACAAACACTATCACAACATGCTACGAAGCAAGGGGGCTGCATTTGATTTGAAATTCCCCCTCTAATTAGTCCAATTTTTGAAAAACCTCAATTTCCCTAACCAAAAACCCTAGAATTCGATTTTCCAAGTAAAATGATGAATTGATGCTCAAACTTACCTGAAAACACAAGAAGAAGACTAAGGAAAGAGGAGGGGAGAGAGGAAGAGCCACAGAGCCGCCGGAAAAAGAGGCCCCATGGGCATTGAGAGGCAGCCGACGGGAAGAAGAGAGTAGCTAGCGGCGGCTCCCGAGCAGACGGCGACGCCCAAGGGTGGAGGAAGGGTTGCCAGAGGCTCGCGCCCGCGGCTGGTGGCCGGACGATGGTGGTTAGTGTGGTGGTAGTCGCCGGGAAGCAGCAAGGGTGTAGGGCGGGCGGGTTTTGGAAGATGGTGGTAGAGGGGAGGAAAATACAAGGAAGAAGGGAGGCCAAGTTTTTAAAATCCGAAAACACGGCCTCTCACTTCTTGGAAAACACAGGCGAATTTAGAGGGCAAGTTTTCATAACCCGCCCTTGGCTTCTCTTGCGCGGAGTCCTCTAAAAACACGGCCTCTGTTAGAAAAAACCTCGACGGGTTTTTTTAAAGGGGAGACCACGTTTTTCGGGATTGCATCCCTCACCAATTTATCTCACCAGAAACCGAACTATACTCAAGACATACAGAGGGCGAAAAACAGACGGCACCCGGGACCACAGAAAGGACTCAAGACAAACTATAAAACACACAAACGGACTCAAAACAAACAAAAATCAAACGAAAAGGGAAAGAAATGCAAACCGGGGTTGGGTTGCCTCCCCACAAGCGCTTCTTTACCGTCTTTTAGCTGGACGCCGATGGAGGAACTAAGGGTCCTCGAGTTTGATTAGCAGCTCTGCGCTCTCTACATCACCTTCCAGGTACAGCTTTAGGAGGTCGCCGTTCACCTTAAATGGCTCAGTTTGAGCATTGCTGATCTCTACCGCACCATGCGGGAACACTTGGGTGACCGTGAATGGTCTCGACCATCGTGAATGCAGCTTGTCGGGGAAGAGTTTTAGTCGTGCATTATAAAGCATAATGCGATCACAAGCCTGAACATCTTTCGGGCCTTTCAACTGAGCATCGTGAAGACGCTTTGTTTGCTCCTTGAAGAGACGGGTTTTCTCATAGGCATGGTAACACCATTCTTCCAACTCCAGCAGTTGCAGCTTACGTTCAGTACCTGCAGCACTCAAATCCAGATTGAGCAGCTTAAGGGCCCAGAAGCCCTTATGCTCTAGCTCAACTGGAAAATGACAAGCCTTGCCATAGACCAGCCGATACAATGAAGTACCAATCGGCGCTTGTAGGTTGTCCTATATGCACAGAGAGCATCATCGAGCTTGGTGACCAATTCTTGTGGGGCTGATCCACCTTCTTTTTAACTATTCTCTTAAGCTCCCGATTCTTCATCTCGGCTTGTCCATTTGTCCGGGGATGGTAAGCCACCGACACCTGATGCTTAACATCATAGCGAGAGAGGAGTTTAGCAAATTTCCCTTGAAAATGGGTTCCTGTATAGCTTATGATGGCACGAGGTTTCCCGAACCGAGAGAATATCTGCTTCAGAAATGAGCAGACCCATCTTGCATCATTGGTGAGCATGGCTTGAGCTTCTTCTCACCTCGATACGTAGTCCACCGCTACCAGGATATAAAGATTATCAAAGGATGGAGGAAAAGGGCCCATGAAATCGATGGTCCAAACATAAAAAATTTCACAAACAACAGAGATATGTTGGTGCATCTCATCCCAGGAAGAAATGTTACTTAACCTCTGGCAGTGGTCGCACCGTCGTGCGAAGGCATCAGCATCCTTGAAGAGTGAGGGCCAGTAGAAGTCCGACTGTAGCACCTTCCGCACCGTGCGGTTCCCGCCATGATGACCGCCCATGGGTCCCTCGTGGCATTGAGACAAGATGTCTCCTATCTCATGCTCCATGGCACAGCGCCGGATCACGCCATCTGCTACTATACTGAAGAAGTAAGGATCCTCCCAGAAGTAATGCTTCAGATCGGAGAAGAACTTGTGCCTGGCATTAGTGGCCATCCCCTTAGGCAACTGCTTGCCCACCAGATAGTTGGCAAAGTCAGAATACTAAGGGGTGACGCTCTCCACCAAGAATAGCGTCAGCAATCACTCACCCGGGAAGGAGTCGTTGATCTCTTCCACAAAGTTGTCCAATGGGGGAGCTTCCAACAGTGAAACATGATCGGCATGAACATTCTCGGCTCCCTTCTTGTCCCGGATCTTGATGTCAAATTCCTGCAGAAGCAGGATCTAGTGGATGAGGCTAGGCTTAACATCGACCTTGCTCATTAAGTAGCTGATGGCAGAGTGATCTGTGTAGACCACCACATGGGAGAGCACCAGATATGGTTGGAACTTGTCGAAAGCATACACCAAGGCGAGCAACTCCTTCTCGATGGTAGTGTAGTTCTCTTGTGCATTGTTCAAGGTCTTCGACACGTAGTAGATCGGCTAAAACTGTTTCTCACGTCTTTGACCTAGAACAGCTTCGACTGCATATTCGCTTGCATCACACATCGGCTCAAAGGGAAGAGACCAATCAGGAGTCACCATGATGGGTGCATGGGTAAGCTTCTCCTTCAAGGGCTCAAATGCAGCTGTGCACTCTGGAGTGAAATGAAAGGGTGCATCCTTCTCGAGTAACTTTGTTAATGGCAAGGTAATCTTTGAGAAGTCCTTAATGAACCTCCTGTAGAAACCTGCATGACCAAGAAAACTGCGAATCTCCATCACAGAAACGGGAGGAGGCAATTTGATGATTGTCTCAATCTTTGCGCGATCCACCTCAATTCCCTTCTTGGAGATCTTGTGCTCGAGAACAATCCCCTCACGAACCATAAAATTGCACTTCTCCCTGCGACTCTTCAGGACAAGCTCTAGGTTATGGAGACAGTGGTAGAAGGAGTCTCCATAAACCGAGATGTCACCCATGAAGACTTCCATGATCTCTCCTACCAGTCGGTCAAAGATCGCCAACATACACCTATGGAAGGTCGTCGGTGCATTACAGTGCCTGAATGGAATCCTCCGGTACGCATTGGTACCAAATGAGCAGGTGAAGGTGGTTTAGCCTGATCCGTCGGTGCAATCAGGATCTGGAAATATCCTGACATGTCGTCCAGAAAATAGTAGAACTCATGTCCCGCCAACCTCTCCAGCATCTGGTCAATGAAAGGGCGTGGGAAATGGTCCTTCCTGGTGGTGTCGTTCAGGCGCCAGTAGTCGATGCATACTCTCCAACCAGTACCGGCCCGCATCAGGATCAACCCGTTCTTCTCGTTTGGGACTACTGCCATCCCGCCTTTCTTCAGGACCATCTGGGTGGGGCTTACCCACTTGCTATCAGATATAGAAAGGATGATCCTGACATCCATAAGCTTCACGATCGCTGCCCGGACCACTGCCTCTAAGTAAGGAGTCAATCTCCGCTGCAGGAACAGAAGGATGGGTTAATGCCTCTGATATCTATAATATTCCATGCCATGTCCCGAGCATACATCTTCTGCAGAGCCACCAGATTGCTCTTTTGCTCGGGTGTCAAATCCGAGCTAATAATGACTAGGAGCTTATTTCCCTCCCGGAGAAATGCGTACTCCAAGTGAGAGAGGAGGGGCTTAAGCTCCAGCTCTGGTGGCCCCTCCAAGGATGTGGCGATCTGGGGCAAGATAGAGATCGGCTTCAACGACTGCTCTCGCCCCTCGATCGCGGCACCCTCAAACTCCGCGAGCTGCTCCCCAACTGCAGCTCCTACAATGCTTGTTCCCCTAGCAAAAGACAACGCTTAAGTAAATCATCAGTACCCGCACTCGTGATGGCGAGTGCGGTCTCAAATTCAGCAATAATATCGCAGTAATCCAGATTATCATGGAACTGGGGGTGTTTCATATTATCAAGAACAAAAAAGGTGATTTGTTCACCCCCATCCCTCAAAATTAGTTTACCATCATTCACATCAATCTGCACCTTGGCGGTGGCGAGAAAAGGTCCACCTAGAATTAAAGGCACATCCACATCCTCATTAATATCCAGTAACAATATCAACAAGATACGAGAATGGCCCTACTACGAATATAAAGTCCTATGCAATAACCCTAGGATGCATAATAGATCTATCAGCTAATTGAATGCTCATCCTAGTGTTACTAGGTTCACCCAATCCTAGCTTCT